CTTAAATAAGCACAAACCAATTTAACCCCCACTAAAGTTTTGTTTAAATTTTTAATTATAATTCCCAATATATACACGTTCAAAGCACCTTCTTTAAATTGGCCCAAAGGCTAACGAATCTGAATGTTCTGAATATATAGGAAACAATGTCAGCGACATTGCACGTAGTTTTTTTTTATTTTACTAACCGAACAAACAGCAGCCTTGCTGCTTCAGAGCAATTTGAATACAACCTAACTTGCAAATTGTTAAGGTGGCGGACGGTTGTATGATTCACCTTTAATCATATTCTTTGTTAGCCTTGAATGTTTGCCCCAGTTGCTGCCATGAAGGTCACTTTTAGTTACAGAAAGAAACCATCTTTTACCGGATAAACGTGTTGCTACCTTCGTTGGTTGTCCTTATTAACAGGTATGACTGTGCATAGTATAATAAGTAGCTGATTGTATATAAATGTGACAAATTGTCGTCTCTGTAAGATGAAGTCTGAAATAATACAATAATATTCCACTCTGAGAACAAATCGAAAATTAATTTTGATTTCTACTTGACAATGAAAATGGCTTAGTAGCAAATCTATTAATGTAAATATTAACTGACAATCACACAATGCAACATTGACGCTCGTTGAAGGTCAGTCCTTGAGACTTTTTGTCTCGTCATATAGAAAACTAGAATACAGTAAAATCTATGGATGAAAAAGGATTCATTAATATTACAGGTATTACTAGTATCTGGCTTTTATTTATACTTCTATATATCTTATTTTCATATTTTCATTATAACTTAACCGATCCACCGATAAGTTATTGTATAAAAGTGTATTTTAAATGTACATAAGCTTTATAATCTAAGCAAACTAAATCCTGCATGTTTACTTTATCTCTTTCATCACCAAATTGAAATCTTGACGTTATTGTAAATGGATAAAAGACCAAATTCGTTTGGTACTTTTTATACCTTAAAGCTTAAATGCGCAGTTGTTTATTATTTATTTACAATGAGTGCATTTAAAACATAATTATACAAGACTGTTTAAATTTTGTCAGCTATGTATTCATACAAGATCAATGTTAGTTAGTGAATGTTCGTAAGGAACATAAAACGTAACATATAAATTATTTTAAAAAAATCTTGAATAATTCAAACCAAGGCATAAATTAGAACTTTTTTTAAACATTTCAAATATGTATTTAAATTAGAAAGAACATTTCAGTGTTATTATAAAACGTTAAAGTGAAATACAAAGAATGTCATGACCTTTTGCTAATTAATGAAGTGGAGGGGGTCGGTGAGTCATGGTCAAGTTACCAATCAAAGTTTATCAAACATATATAAATGCATGACCTTGACCTTGAATCCAGTGACTTCAAACTCGGGCCATTTAAGGTTTATTCGACATTGGCAAGGAACAGCAAATAAGCAAGTGTGAAAAAAATCTAAAAATATAAGTCGAGAAATATAGGTTTTGTATTAAGCAAGTTAAGAAATCTATTTTGGCACCCTTTACCCACTGACCAAATTCAGAAGATGACGACCAATTGTAAGTGTAGACATTATGAAGCCATTAGTGCCGATAGTACTTTCAAGTGCTGAAAAGGGCAGTTATGTGGAAAATATTGATGCCATAATGATGTATCTTGCCATGATCGATTGATATAATATTAATTCCAGGCTGAGATTATTAATGATACCGATAAACATGGTTAAGACCAAAAGAAAATTTTTAAATTACAATAATTTTGAATATGACATTTTCATTAGACGTTGAAGAGCCAAGATGATATTTATTAAGAAAGAATGATATAAAAATCGATTTAATCGTTACTTTGTCTACCATTTAAAGGATGTGCGGTACATAACATGTTATTACTTTGACAAAAAAAGACTAAACCGTTAGAGGAAAAGAAGTCAATTGAAGACGTAACTTGCTTTAATATATCATGTAGAGCTATGCAATAAACTTCTACTTAACTAAGCTCATAATTATATTTTTTAAACAAAGAGTTAAACGAGAATAATGAATTTAATACAGTTCCCAATTTCTAATAATTATATGACTTGTGTCCATGAAGAAACGAATAAACCTTAAGCGAGATATCTGAACGCTAAGACAATATTTCAAAACTATTTTCGGATCAAAACAGTCAACGTTTTTGCATAACAAATCCATGGAGACGGCAACATCAAACATCCACTTTTATGACGAGAAAATTTTTAATAAACTCCACATGTACATTCATAACACTTAAAAGTCATACTTTTAAAGGGAGAAACAGGCTATTTTTCATATCTTCGATTTGAATTTATAATCCAATGTTCTGTAAATGTCCTCGAAATGAATACACTAAGCAGTCTGAGGAGCAAAACAATTCTCCATATAAAGAAAAAACTGTGCTCTCCTAAACTGACCCGAATGGGTCAGGTTAGAGCATTTAGATTTCACGATAAGTATCACAGTGAACTATGGAAACGTTAAAAGACATGCCAAATAAGCGACTCAGACTTGTTTTAATCTCACAATATTTACAATGTCTGGTTTTATTTAACTTCCAGTGTTTGTTATTGTCACATAATTTGTTTTAAAACTATTCGTTGATTCTGTCTGCCTCTTCATTTTGCTCAACATTTGTAATTTATTTACGTTTCAAACTCACATTAAATAGTATTTGTACAGAAAAAAAATCATGCTTAAAAAACTTATTTGAAATTGTCTCATTCATTTGCAAGGGTATCCCTTTAAGTATCAAACATAAGTATAATGCACTTCCTTTTAATCTTTAAATGACATCAGCAATAAGCATACATAGCTATGTAAAATTTCTTTTTCAAATTGTTGTGTGTAAAACAAATCCGGTTAATGTGACAATTTTCAGTCAATATTGTGTAGTTAATTTAACTTTATAACACATTCACACCATTGTTGAATTCAAATTATTAAGTCATACTTTCAGCAAGTGCCTTCACTATCAAAGATATATCAAAAAGTGTGAAATAATAATTTTGTTTAATTTTCGACCACAAATGCATATTTGGTGTATTACGAGGACATTTGCATAATGGTTGTATTAGGTAAGAGCGAATGAGGCCACCTAATCTTCTAAAAGCATTTCTGTGTTCAGATGAACTTTTTAACAATGCAAACCTTGTTTGCATATAGGTATGTGGAATTTGATAATAGAATAGCTACCAAATACAAACACGAAACAAAGTACACACTTGATTTCAGTATAAATACAAAATGTATGAATTTCTTACAAAAACAAAATTACACATATGTGGCAAACACAAATGATTTGTATTTAATAAATATGTATAGATAAAATACCAGCGACTAATAGTCCAATGGATGAAGTTTATGGTGATTATTTATGTGCATATTGTTGAAAATCTTGATGCTCTTTGACAAAAACATGGGCTCTATTTTTCCGTTGCGCTTCCTTACAACTGCATTTATCGACAAATATTTTACAAATTTGTAGGTGGTCCTTTTAGCTTTGGATTGAAATTGTGGTTATGTAGATAATTACATGAAGCCATGAAACCGTAACTTTTACCGTTGTCTTTCATATTGTGTAGGCAGATACCTAGGAAAGTCCTCGAACCTTACGTGTTCTTTGATTGGTTTCTTCTGTTGGAGAAGCGTCTCACTTTTCTCATGTCATCGATGTTAATAGTACTTGTTACACTTTTGCTCACAACGTTTGCTTATCACACAGGTTCAAACGTCAGGTTGCTTTCTTGCGTTTACGTTAGTCTAGTTATAAATCACTAAGATCAATTACACAGGTGCTAAAATGAATTTATCATTAAATAGATTAAGTTCGTCAAAATTCGAAGATTTGTCGAATGAAAATCTGTACGGATTTATCATGAAACAAATTAAGGACCCGCCATGAACAATCGACCAAAGTCAAGCATTTGCAGAATGAAAAACTGTTTTATCTGTCCACTGTCTTTCATGTATCTTCACCACTTATTCTATTCACAACGCCAAGATTTTATAACGGCACGACAAAGAAACGGTGGCATTTCTTATGGTCATTTTAAATGAAATATTGGCCATCTTTAAAACGCAGGATTAATTTATAAACTACACCAAAGTTTAATACACTTCATTCACAAATTGTTCTGCACGTTGATATGAACTTGAATCTGATACCTGCACTATGCTATGATTTTAAATTAAACCATCCGTTAAAAAGAATGACATCAAAATTGAAGCGATATTTCGATCTCGACAAACCATCACTTGCAAACTCCCTTCGAAGTGGATCGTTTAGTAAATGCATTTTGTTGCCCTGACCTTTATCAATAAATGTTAAAATTAGCCCCGTGTATAAACGGGTAATATCGAAGTCGCAGTGAGAATAAAAAAATACACGTTTACTTGAACTTAAGTGTACTTAAAAACTGTAATCATATATGTTGCACAGAATAGGCAAATTATATTAACATTTCATAATAATGTTACTTATAATTGTCAATAAATAACATATAATAAGAAAATAAATACAGCTATTTAAAGACATATAAAACCTTGATATAAACAATGATTTATTTTCTTAAACCATCAATTGTTTTTTCTTTGTTTGTTTTGTTTTCTTTTTCCTATCAATATGATAATTTTACCAAATATATGCAATTTATCACTTATATCTTCAATGGCTGTCAAGGGGTGATAAATTGCTGTAAAAAGAAAAAAGCGAGATGTTTGTTTTTGGTAGCTTTTGGAAACATCAGCTGTTAAATAAGACATATTGATCAATATAAAAAGCTGATACAATTTATAAAATGGCAGATTTTAGAGGTCTTAAAAATGTGTTTCAATTTATTGTTACCTATAACTGACTTTTCAGATACAATAACATAAAGTTAATTATGACAATTTACCCTAAAGCATGTTTCATGTTAAGGTTTAACGAGCTACTAATCTGTAATCTTATTGGAAAAATATATTTTTAAGTCAAACAATTCATTTGACAAAGAATAATGCAACGACTGACACGTCGATATTAGCAAACAATCAAAAATTGTAATTTTGTATAGGACGAAGGTCTCAATATTATTCAGATCCATTGCAACGATACATTGTATTAGCGATCTGAGAGGTGCACAGTTATAGTTATAGATAGAAGTTAGATAGAAGTTATAGGTGTTGTAAAAAAATATTCATTCATTTTTAAGGTAAGTTCGATATTACTTTATTTGTTTTCAGCAGAAATAACAACTTGTTTGAATTTGTATTATAATTATAATAAGTATGAGAGTTTATAAAAGTTTTTGTCAAAGGAATCGTTTTCTCAAATGTAATTTGTAACCATAAATGTCGCTTTCACTTAAAAGTTTGAAAGCGTTGAAAATAAATTAAACAAATTCTTGATAAACCCACTGTGGTATATTTTATTAAGCAATTTTGTTAAGTGAAAATGTCCGATGAAGATACAGAAGTATTTGCCTTAAAGTTTGTGATAATTACTTATATATTGAAGAGGACATAAGGTTTCCCAAAATCAAAAATAAGTCCTTTCTAACCCGATTCGTATAATGCCGAATATATGTTTCACATGTGTATACAAATTGTACAGCGATAGTTTTGATGGACATAAAGGTTTTCCGTCTGTCCGTCCGATAGTCTTGCCGTTTGGTTAAAAATAATTCATGATTAATTTTCACAAAAGTCAGACGGTTTAACTTTATTGAGTTATAGTAAAATGCATCTTATCTATTTGTACATAAACATAATACTCTCTTTATTGCAATATAGCATTTCGTAGCAGACTTTTATAAAAGTATATTGCCCGCCTATTTTTATATTTTTGCGTATATTTTCTTTTTTTTTCTAAATTGGGCAAACATTAATCATTATAGTTCCAACGTATCAACTTTAAATATTAACACGGAGATTTCATTTTAATTAAGTTAAACTATATGTAATTAATGAAAAACGAAGAAAATATCTTGATTGATATTGTGTTGTTTTTTTGTGTTTTTTTTTGTTGTTGTTGTTGTTGTTGTTGTTTGTTTGTTTTGTTTTGTTTTTTGGTATTTTTCATTCAACAAATACCGTGGTTGTTTCTTTTTGACCTTTGGTATTCATTTTTTCGCATTCTTTGTTCTCTTTGAATACTTAGCGGACCAAGTTGTCACAATCTAGCTTTGATAATGTAAATGGATACTAAACCAATGTGCATTCTATCTATTAGAACCTCACGAACTTGGCCTAGTATTTGCATAATGCCATTTTTAACTATTGCGATGAATGTAAGTAGATACAGGCCATAGTCTGCTGAAATTCTAAAGCAAACATTGTATAATTGATCATTTAAAAAAGATTGTATACTTCAATAGCTTTCGGGGACTAAAATCCGTTCAAACACAAACGATTTTAAACCAAATTAAACTTGTTTACCAATTTCAAACTTTACAAGTTTGAGGCCCAGATTTCAGAGTGTGATATTTTGTATATTTTCGTGAATTTGTTTATTAAAGGACTTGCAAATATTCGTTTTTAATGTTGAACTTGAGATTGCAACAGTTTAAGAGTTCGGTTCCTTGTAACATCCCTGACAATACATGCTTCAGTACTTTCGTATTTGTATTTTCTAACATAGAAACGATAGGACGTGTAAAATATAGGTAATGCTATATAATTTCAAAATTTCAATCGATACAAAGTGACATATTTTTTACAAGCACTCTCTTTAAAAGTCAACAAAATATATATGGGAATCAAAGAAAATTTTGTTATGTGGTCGTATCTGTTGGAGTTATAAATCATTTAAATTTCATTTCTTAATTTGTATAACACCCAAGATATATGACACTAAATTTAATGTTTTTAATTTACGTTACCATTGCTTTTTATATGTAGTTTCATGCAATGAAGTTGGTTATAATTTCATTCCTTCCATCATGTTTTTACGGCTTTGTGTTTACAAGATACATGTATGTTTGATTTGTGTGTATTTTGACCTAAATAGAATTGATATACTATGTATGATTATTTTAATGTACATGGTATACGTTAATGTTTTCGGCACGTTTATTCTAAATTATATAACTTCTGAACATCTCGTGGAGTATTATCGCTAGGTCGGTTGATGAATATGTATTCAGGAATGCAATATTGTATTCTTGTTTCAAAAAAAATTCACGTGCGGCATGAGATAGTTTTTTAAAAAGATGGTTTGGATTCATAGTAGATAATCAAACGCGAGAGAAATGACATCATAATGAAATTTAAACATGTAATTGCCTTTTTTATATCATATTTATTGCATCCCATATTTTGTACAATTAAAACTTATACTTAGACTTCAGTGTTAGAGATCTACATGTTACCCACATATTTTGTACTTAATATCAGTGTTATTATTTTGCTTGTTGTCTTTCGGGATAATTTATTTCAATACGGTGAATACCGCTAAAGCCAGTGGCCTCGTGGTAACGAGATCATTGTCTTAACCAAGTGATCGTGTAATTCAAGTTGCACAACTTGTTTTGCAATTGACCTTAACTAAGGACATATAATTTGATCAAACAGCAAATTTTCTTATTCCTGTAAATAACATAAATGTTCTTATTGTATGTTTTTTAACATTGAACTAGGTATTACAAAGTACGTGACCCGTTGTTGAAGAAAAGAATATCAAGTACTTATATTGTTTGCTGTGCTTGCTGATAAAAATAATCTTTACATCCTGCAAATAGACAATCCTGCCTTTTGATCTGATTGCAAATGTCCGAATTTTAAGATAACCTAGTACCTGACCTACAAAAAAAGTAAATGGCGGTACAGACAACCTTGTACCATCAGGATTGAGACTGACTTCACTACCATTTAAAAATGTCCTTACACTAAAGCAATCATTTGTTATAATATATTAAGAATCAACAGTACATGACTCAACTTTACGCTATAATTATTTGTTTCCTTCCTTCTCATATTTTCATCTTAGAAAACAATTCTTGGAGTTGTAGAAGCACACATCAGCATATGCTTGTATTTATTTTGTGTCCGGTTCATTCATTTTTTTATCTGTTTCACATGCAAATACTACAAAGTGTGACTAAATCGTGTATTACTTGTTTGCATAGCTACACTCCTTTGTTACATTTTTGCTTGTTGTATCCCTGCGATGTAGCCTTTTCGCTTTGTGACATAGCCGAATTCTGGTTATACAAGCGCATGTGCACATAAGAAGAGAAGGAGAGAGCTAACAAAAATATCAATATATATATTCTTATATCAAAACACATGTTTCTATCATTGAAATCAATGTTTATTTACCGTTACACATCTGCATTCAATTAACTGCTTAACGTTGAGAATAATAATTCAATATACTGTTGAGTATTGCATACGTGTTATAGATCTGTACATGTCTATTCATAGCCTGGAGATAGGACACAGCATCAATGATAAATGCAAAAAAAAATAAAACATTTCCACGAATATATAGAAACACAAATAAACAACAATGCAACAATATGAAAAAAAATATTACATGCGTAAAAACAAAAATGAAAATGTGCAAAAAACAACATTGTATTTAAAAATGTTTGTATTCTTGAGTCGAAAAACAAACAGGACAACAAAATCATGTAACAACAATAAAGAGTTGTGTATGTATTGCATCTGTTGTGTCTGTTCTTTTTTGAGAATGGAAAAATGAGAAAGAACGTAAAGTAAATTTCGGACGTTGTTTTCCAATTGGATTGTTTTGAGCAGGAAATGGATTTTTATTTGGTCGATGATTGGCAGAGGCATGTGTTGTAAGTGTTTCAAACATGATATCAAACTAGTGATAGAATTTAAAATAAAATTTAAATAAATAAAATAAAATTAAATTAAGATATATATTGACAGATTAATTTATTATTGGGTTATTAAAACGAGTATAATAAAAAGTACTTTCCTTTTCTATTTACATAAATAGTTTTGTATCAATCTTTCCATTTTGTCCTATTCAAAAATATAACATAATCTAAAACCTCTCAACTTTTAATTATTTGTAATAATAGTTTTAATATAAAGGCCCTATGCTAAGATTAACTTTGATTTCAGGGATCATCGAGTTCCTTGTTTTCTTCTGTCCAGTTTGGAATGGTTCTTTTACCTGAATATCCAACATATTTGTTATTACCTTAAAGACAAGTATCAGCACGTTGAGTTTTTTGCAATCGCTATCAACATGAATGTTAATTCATACCGATGCAAGCTATATAAACAAGAGGCCAATATAGCCCTAGATCGCTCACCTGACCCATGGAACTGATCCGATCAATTACCTAGACAAGCGTCCTGACAAAGTTTGATGACAATTGAGTAAACAATGTAACCACTAGAGTGTTAACAAGGATTTTTTCCATATTTGGGCGTTGTGACCTAGTTTTTGACCCCAGGTGACCAATATTCGAGCTTGTGACCTAGTTTTTTTTCCAAGATGACCCATGTTCAATCCGAGCAATGCTAGACAAGCATCCTGTCCAAGTTTGATGACAATTGAGTACAAAATTTAACCACCAGAGTGTTCAAAATTTTTTGTCCATAATTAGGCGGTGTTACATAGTTTTCTTTACCCAAGGTGACCCATATTCAAACTTGACCTAAAAATCATAGAAACATCTTTTCAGACCCATTCCCAGGATAGTTGGATCAAAACAGTAGCCACTAGCCAATATTTTATATTATAAGCTTCTGTGACCTAATTTTTCAATCAATTCGACCCATGTTTAAACTCATATGAGCTATTACCTAGACAAGCATCCTGACCAAGTTTGATGACAATTGAGGCAAAAATGAGACCACTAGAGTGTTAACAAGGTTATTTTCTATTTTTAGCTCCTGTGACCTAATTTTTCATCCGAGATGATTCATGTTGTAACCAACACGATCATTAACATAGACAAGTATCTTGAAAATCTTGTTGCAAATAAACAGGTGACAATATTCTTTTGTTATATATAGGTCATCATAAACACGGTTCAATGACCATATAGACCAAATATGGCTAAAGTAAACAATCAATGCTAAGTCGACTAAAATAGCATTTCCTAATGAAAATAATCACTCAAAACTCAACTTTCGCGACAAATATGTTAAAAGCTAAATGCTACTCAATAAAACATGTTTACTTTCATCAGCCAATAGACAAAACAATAACCAACAAATCTAACTGCAA